TAAACTGTGTCACCGAATTTACGTCACAGAAAAACTAGTGCCAGTCCATTAGCGTCTCCCAAAACACGGCCAACACGACTGGGCGTCGCCAGAAATCTAACTTTGAAGGCTGATTTCGAGATGAAAAAAATTCGAAATCGAAAAATTTTTTTTGGAATATTTATCTATATCATCTAGAGACGACAAAACCGTAAAAAAATTCTAGACCTGATATACACTTTAAATGTAAAATTCAACTCGTGAATCGAAAGTCCAGAATGCCTCGACCATTTAGTGAGGATTTAAGATGGAGAATGGTATTTCAGCGTTTGTTTTATGCCAGAACGTTCGAGGAAACACGTGATATTTCTTTCAGTCTAAATGTCTAAATGTGTAAATATCTAAATGTCTTTTTTCTGTGGACAACGTTAATGACATTGACTGTATATTTATCCTACGAAGATGGAGGACTTCTTCACTTGACCATAAATTCTTTTTTGTTTTTGTTTTTGGTTTCTGTTGATGTTCCACGCTTACCTGACAGCTTTTATTTTTATTCCTCTCAAACCTCCGCCAACTCTTCCAGAACTCCTTTGAAATACTTCGTTAAACTGAAAACACATCAAATTCGTTAGTCAAGAATGCTCATATATTAAAAACTTTGATACACGTGCCGAGGACCGACGAGGCAATGGATGCAAGGGTTTTCAAACCCCTCCGCTCAAGATAATTGACAATTAACAAGACAATTATAACTTCCGCCGCTGGCCGCAACCCCATCCTCGACTCTTCCATGTATAGGAGGGATCAGACATTTTAGCGACAACTGTTAAGTGCATATTTCTTAAACACTGTGCTGAACACAATTTGAAAGTAACTTGACATGGTAACCATCTTACATACCGTGACCTTGATTCCAAGTTTCAGGTCTTTGAATGCCTTGGATTGCTTGTTTCTAAAGTTGGGGTTCCATCGATACTTCTTGAACAATATTTCCACTCGGAAAGTTAGTTTGCCTAAGAATATATAAATCATTGAAGGAATTGGTAGAAGGTTTAAGTTGAGTTGGAGGTTATTTCTGTTTTCTTCGTGAAATCCGCGTTCCTTCTTCATAAATACAAACAGTACCATCACTATATAACCATTGCTATAAATATCATCATCTCCACCACTACTATACAATCTCTATCAATCTCTAGTATTTTTACCTTCAATAGGCATTCTACACATGAAAGGATGACGCTCACTACACACTTTATCAGACCAGCAGCTGAGTGGTTTATTGGTTGTCCAGGCAACGCAGTTTTGAGAGCTTCCTCCATTGGTCGTGACAGGTGCGCATATTCCAGGAGCAAAGTCCAGGCCATCAAGCCATGCAAAATGACCCTCGTGAAGCCTATCGTGAAGACCTGGAAGCAAATAAAGACGTCTTTAACCGTTCCCGCACAAGAGCGTTAGAGTACGTTGGCGAACTTAGCTATTTGCCTTAGGTAATGTAAAAAACCTTTTCATCTTGTATGGAATCTCTTTCCCTTTAATTTCTGACAAACCTCATTATGGCGTTCCGCTTACTAGCATTTCTTTTGCCTGTAACAGTTGATGCTATGTAAGTAGTGTTGCTTTTTGGTTATCTATTCTTACAAGTACTCTCTAAGGGCTCTCCAGGTTTTTGTCCGCTTCGCATCAATTACGATCTGCACTTTCATATTACAGTTCGATCATTGAACAAAGGCCACAGGTTAATAAACTTATAATTCATAATTGAAATAAAATTGAGACATCGAATTCGTTCATTGAACAAGGGCCACGGGCTAATAAACTTATAATCCATAATAGAAATAGAATTGAGACATCGATTTCGTGCAGCTAGGAAAACCAAAGACCTCGAGAAGACTTTCAAATTACAATTCGATCATTGAACAAGGGCCACGGGCTAATAAACTTATAATCCATAATAGAAATAGAATTGAGACATCGATTTAGTGCAGCTAGGAAAACCAAATACCTCGAAAGAAAATTATGGAGCACAGGAGAAAACGAACAAGAAATCATACCCACATGAGATGGTGAATATTGGGACCAAAATGCAAATTAAAGATTAAAATGCGGCGCATTAGTAGACGCACGGGCATCTGTGTTTCCCAAACGAAAATTAGCAGTCTTTTCCAGCAGTAGAAATAGAGGACACACGTACCTATCCACATCCATCCTTTTCCTTTGCCTCTCTCCTGAAGAATCCTCAGGAACTTTTCTTCTTCCTTGTTCCTAACAGAAGTAAGAGTCGCGTTCTCATTGGCGCAATGGACGATAGCTTGCTCCCAAGTGACTTTCTCTGGGTGAAACTTAAAACATGACGATCCAAATCGACTATATCCTTTAGCGCAAACAGCTGTAATACAAGGAATGGGATATTTTAGTAAAATAATAAATAAATTTAGTAAATGATAATTCTGATTACTCCAAATTTTTTCTCGACRTTTCGACGTCATTAGGCATTATTCTCAAGAGCGAAGAGATCAATTGAATTGCAAGTACTTATAACAGAGAACTCAAGTCCTATGGGAAAGCCCTAGCTTTAATGAAGAACACCTCAAAGACCAGATATTCAAGTCTATCCCTGCAACGCCATATTTTTGGTCTGAAATGCCTAGATTRGTTCCGTTGGATCATCCGAACAAGAAAAACATTCAGATGTATCTGGTTCACCTTTTGGACTTGCTTGGGTAACAACTGCAAACAAAAAAAACAAAAAAAAAAAAAAAAACGATTAACAGGTTTTGCCTTTCGTATAACGTATTATCTAACAAAGAGCCCTAATCTCTCATTCACCCTGATACACGTGGACAAAGGAATTTGATAGAGGCAACGGGGACCGCTATGGCCCCACCTTTTGGACAGTAGACAGTAGCTGGTTTCACATTCTCTTTCACATCGTGAGTTTTTCTCGGACAAAAATAAGTCACTACAAAGCAGCTTTATTTATAACAACGAACCGCTCATCAGCAAGGGTCATTACTGTTACTCTTACTTTTCACTGGCTTCACATTCTCTTTTAGATTGTGGTTTTTTCCCAGACAAAAATAAGCAACTACAAAGTAGCTTCATTCATCACAGCCAACCGCTAGCTAGCAAGGGTCATAACTGTTACTCTTACTTTTCACTGGCT